GAGTTTTAGAAGTTGAAACCTGCTATTCGATTGAGCATAGATTTGTAGTTACTATCGGATAAGTACTGTGTATTGCTGGGAGCGTTTACGCGGTTGATGCTTCCGATTCGCTTACTTGACCGATAGCTGCTACCTTTATGCGGTGGCCCGGCTTACATATGGGAAGAACCCAATCAGCTATGCTTGTGGAGTGTCTGTTCCTTCGAGGTCCAACCATACTAGAAACATCTGTTGGGTAATATGAAGGCAAAAAGCAATCACCATTACAATGTCTGAAGCCGAGTTCAAGCAGATCTCCATTGTGTGCTGATGTCAAGAAATAATTCTACTTCTTCAGGCACCTCAAAAAGAATAGTTTTCCTCAGCATGGGAAGCGAGGAAGTGTCAACCCCCCTCCCATTACTGTCAGCACTCAAATCCCCTCAAATCAATGTCCACCTTCCACATCCTTAACTTCTAATCCTTACACGCATCTTTCGATCAGTAATCCTCCATCACCTTTAATTTCTTCCAGCTCTACAGATCTTGACAACAATATGAATTCACGAAACAGCGTCACTGGTCTCCTAAAACTGTTTCATAAAACTTCGCATTGAAGCTTTCAATGTCCAGACCCTCCGTCAAAACGACTGAAAAGCCTGACTAGCCAAAACTCTAGCAAATCAAATCGTAGATGTATCCTGTGTTTACCACACACACATACAACACCAGTGTTGTTATTCAATTAACCTGACTTGGTCAACATGACGAATCCGCGAAATCCGCTCTTCGAGTTTCCAGTGATTTGATAACTAGTTGTCGCGGACTTGCAGGCATCTAGTTGTATCACTGAGCACTAAGGCAGAACGTTCATTGCTCGTCTGGTTCCCAGTCAACAGTCACCTACCTATGTGCTGTTCGACTGAACGCCACAGTGGGAACTAAAAATAATAGCGAAACTCACCGTTGTCTCTTTGTAATTTCCGATTACTCACCCACTGACGGCATTTCGGATAAAATGAAAGACGAGTTCTATCGAAAACTGTTTTGCCTCCGACTGAAAACCAAAGGTTTAGATATGGCTGTCGTAGAAGATAATTTCAATGCATGTCGGGTAAAAGACCACATTAGTGGCAATTTCGGAATCCCAACTGAACGAACAGATAACGATAGTCGCTTACTACAACTGTGCTCAGAAAACCACTTATTTTTGACCAGCCAACACGAACTTCAGACACAGAGATAGACATTGTCTGACGCGGCGTCAACCGAGCTTAATTCAACGGTGGACACAATTAGACCACATTAATATAAGTCATCTCTGGAGAGGGTAAGTGGAAGACTGCCTCTCCCTCTAAAGCAAGTGTTTCGAAAGCTAGCGCGTTTATGTTTTTACCTTACTGGACGTGAGAAAACTACAGCAACAAGACCAATGTGAGTGTAGCTAGACAATGACAGCACGCAGGCTGCTTTCAATGACAAACCGGTTAGACAGTTATTTGAACAGCATAACACAGCTCATCCAGGAACCTGAAACCTTCTTCACTTTGCTGTGAAAACAGGGTTGAAAATCGTAGCCGACTTCCAGAGAGTGGTTTGTAGGTGCCAGTGAATCTCAGCAATTTCCTTTCAGTTAATAAATTTGGGCGAACGCATCCCCGGAGAATCCGAGCACTATAAGGAGCGGAAGAATGTCAAATGTAGACTGTCTGGAAGTTTACGCAAGGACGGCGAAAACTGGTGGACAGCGAAAGCTAAGGAGATGGAAAGGTAGCGGCGACAGGTGACAGTAGAAAGTTGTTTAAACTCAAGTAAACTGTGGCGAATAGGTCAGTGATTATGGAGACTGTGGGGGAGAAGGATGAGTCTGCTGTGCACTAACACGGTAGACAACTGAGATGATGAGCGGAACACTCTGAGTAACATATCAACTGGCCTCCACCTACTGTTTTATCGCTTCCTATCCAGTCGGAGTCAGATTGGATAGGACCCCGAACACTTGCAGAAGTCGAGAAAATTGTAGGTAACCGGGAACGAGGAAGAGCAGCAGGGTCAGATGGACTAGTTTCAGGGATATTTCAGGGTGGTGGTAGTGGACTTCTAATCAACTGAAGTGTTAACTAGTGTATAGGAGTCAGATACACTCCCCTCTGATTGATCTCAATCACTGACTGACCTAGTCTTCAAGAAAGGCGATAAGTCCTCCTGTGATAACCACAGAGGAATCAGTCTGACGAGGGTAGCATCTAAGATTCTAGGTTCTATTATCAGTAGATGTCTGGATGAAGCTCGGGGACGGAAAGTGGGAGGCAACCTGACAGACTTGTCCGTGGGTATGTCGATCAGATTATTCGCGCTCCACCAGGTTGTGGGACACGGGTAAACTTTGCAAACGCTCGACAGTAGCTATGTTTCTCGACCTGGAGGGGGCATTTGACTTCGCCACATATGACGCCGCCGTGATATTCGATTTTCTACTAAAGGTTGAGTGTGACTGTGGTGCAGTTTGCTCTGTTCTACTGTATGACTGTAAATCATGACCAGTAAAGGTAGGCAACATGAGAAGGCTTCAGGTGTTCGACCACTGTTGCCTTAGCACTATGGGTTGAATTTCGTGATGCCACTAGGTGAGTAATGGAGAAGTTAGGCGCAGAGTTTTCATGCGGATATGGTATTCAGTTAATGAACTTTTGAACCTTCGTTGACCCAGGTGGCTGGAATATGTTACTGATACCAATTGCTGTCTGCGCCGTCACACAATGTTAGCTGAAGTAGGTTCAGGCTTGACCTGCCTAAAACATGGCAACATTGCATATAGTCTTTAACTGTTGATCTGAGCTGAGTAGGGGGATGTAGACTGGCCGTTAAGTGTACACGTAACAGTAGACATCAGCGGTTGCAGATTCCGAGTGATATTGCTCAGAATCGATGTCAGTTGCGCACATAGATCCCCGCGTCATACTCATCCTAATCATCATACTAATTCAGTATTCTGTCTTTCGTCCTTTTTCGGATGCATTCCATCTTGTTTTGCTACTTTCTTTATTTCTTGATCTTTCATCTCAGTGCATTATCTCTTAATGTGCCTATGTGAGGTGTGTCAAACTAGACCATTATGCAGTAATACCTGATTCGATGTTGATGATGAGAATGAGGATAAAAGTTGGTATTTTCAGGAAGTGCGTGAATGAGCAGGTAAATTCACTTTACATGACCCCAGAGCTCAAAGAACCTCTGCTTGACGCCTATCACAGCTTTTCCGTGGGTATTTGAGTGACTTTGAATGTAGGGCATCCTTACCTAAAAAATGTCTGTGGCTTAGGGAGAGATGTGGCTAGCCTTTGGTGATCCTTCCTTGATACACGAAAAAGCTTCATCAACATGAAATGCCGGTCATTCGTGGGATGTACCTAACTGCTTTCAAACCGTTCACCTGGCAGTAAAAAATCGTCGAGCTCACATCCTTAGTGTGAGCTACTCATGCGGTGGCAGTAACTGCTTTTAATCTTATCAGTAACCAAAAAGTGTTTCTAGCATAATGGAACTTCAAGAAAAAACTGTTTCAGTCTATGTAGATCGTTGGGTGATTGCAGCAGACAAGTCTGACTACTGCATAGAGGTAACAGCTGTCGTCCGAGAAGCATAAGTACCGAATAAAAGTGTCTATAAAATCATCCCAAGGTGTCTAAATTTTCCAAACTAAGAATCCAGATAGGTGTAATGCTTAAATATAAAATGTTTGAGGACTGAACTGCCTAAAGTTTTTTAATATTACTTGCTGGTTATTTTAGAAAGGACAACGTAGCATATCCTAAGAGATATCGCAATGCATCCGAAGAAGGGCATTCTACATTAAACTGAAAGCATTTAAAGTGTTATTTGGTAAACCGATGTTTGCGTGAAGTTTACTCTTTAGGAGTTATAAACGGGAGTTGTTGAGTAGGGCTTTCATCTTCAGATTTAATGCGTCTAGATGTTAGTTTGGGTGCTAGTCACGTTTTCTCTTCGAATTACCAGATATAATTGTCCACTTCCTAATAAGATTCTACGTTGAATTCTTATTTTAGCACACTGTACCTTTATTTCTGAACCTTCTAATTAGCTAACATCAGCGCAAATGATGCAGAGTTCTTACACATACGTGGTGGGAAAATAATGCTGTTTGTAACTGTTAAATATTCTGCAAACAACTGGATATGTATTATTCAGGATGAGATTTCTGGTATTAAGTCGAAAAATGGTATAATAAGGATGACCGTCGGCATATTTCCCGGTGGTGAAGATTATTTACTATTGTCATCTCGCAACACTAACCTTAATGTCATTTTTTGCATGTTTTACCCTTGACATCTTAGGGGCTTTCCTACCGAACACTATTGCTGTGCACTATGACTGACTGAAAAATGATGGAAATCCTATATCATTGCTTTATTCAGTGAAACTTATTTGGACTAAAGTTGCATTTTTTTTCTCCTGCGTATTATAGTTTATGGTATTATGGTTTCATGCGTAGACCCCTATGAATACGCCACTCTGGCTAAAAAGGATTCAGACTGGTGACTAACTATTTCACTGTTGTATGCTTCTTTGTGCACTTTTTATGTAGGTACCAACAAAGCATTTTTGATGTTATTGATGGTTGTGTTGTGTTCTCTGAGCTGGATGGTTTTGATGTTACCTTATATTGTCATCTCTCTTCAAATCGTAAGCATTAAATCTCTGTTCATAAAAAAGTCAGTGTTTTTCATACTGTGTCCGTCTTGCACTGCTTGTTTGTGCTCGGAACGAAATAATTTAATTAATCAATTCAAAATATTGGTTTTCACGGAATCATTTAGCTTCCGTATGCTAATTTAATTGTAATATGTTTCGGAAGTTCACCGGGATGTAGAAAAAATAACTTTCAGATTGAGTGCATCTTGCTCTGTTTTCTTTGAATTGCTTCTACTTTCTATGTTTTTAATAACATTTTATCTAGTCAGGTTTTTTTGTGTGCTTATGAGTTCAGTTTTACCTTTTAGAAAAAATTATGACGGATAACGCTAAGAAGTGCGAAAATAATGTCCAAGTATTTTCATTTGGATCAATATCATCAGAATGGTAAATACATATTGAAATTACTTTTGCAGTGAAATAAAATGCATAATACCCGAAAAAGTGTGCAAGTTAGCGCATAGAATGATTACTCAGTGTCGTCACAGTAGCTTGAAAACATATCTGTATGGGAAGTATTCTTTCGTTGGAGTTTCAAACCTACATATTTCAGTGAATAGGATTGAGTTAAATAGAGTTCACTGTCATCCGTGCCTCTGCGATGAATTTCTGATACCTTTTGAGGTATTATTTTATATCAGAATTTTAAACCCTTTTTTAAAATTATAAATTAGCTTTCTAAATGTGATGTATCTGACAATATGGATAGACAGTTTTTAGATTTCGCCATTCAATCTATCTGGAACGAGTTTAGTCTTAAACCATTGAGTTTGGATATCACCAATTGTATTCAGTTCAAAGCATATGCCTCTGTTTCGAACAACTTTAACAGTAGGACTAATAGACGACTACAGGACACTTCAGAGGGAGATATGAATTCTAAGATGTATTTCTCAAAGTTCAAAATGGACTGCTTAGTGTTAGACTGTTTAGTGAGTCTAACACCAATAAGTAAACCATCTTTAGTTTCCTCTGTACTTGTTAAAAGTCTTGAGACACGTGAATTTCATTTGTCTAGATTTACAGATTTACTAAGTGAATTTGATAATGAATCTGATATACGTACTGGGTAAGTCTTTTCTTTTATTAAATCCTTACTTCTTTTAGTTATATGAACTTGACTGAGTCCGGGCAAATTTCCCTTCACTTAGATACAGACCCCACTGTTCTAAGTTCATCTCCAATTGGAATGTAAGTTGTGATTTTTGTTTTAAGGTGTTCTGATTCAGTCAGCCAGTTACATGGCAACCAATCTAACATTTCAGTGTCGTGTTTCGAAAAATATCTAAACTAAAATTGGTTTTGTGATATGAACCATCACTTTGGAATGAAGATTGTCTATTGACATCTGATGTTTTACGGAAAGTGTACTTTTAGCTATCTATGAACTTATTTTCTGTTTTACACCTCATAGTAAACTGGACAACAAACTGTGTTTGAAACTCGTAATTTATATATATATATATATATATATATATATATATATATATATATATATATATATATATATATATATATATATATATATATATAGTATACTATACTGCATACACTATTTCTGGCCCATATAGCGTAAGTGAGCTGCGACGGTGTTTGACGATTGTCAAATGCCTCTTTTCCTCACTTTCAGGTCAAACGATTCATTTGCACGTCCTGAGCGTTGTTCGCCTCCGAAATAGCACACTTCTGTCTGGCTTGCGGTGTGGTTTTTCATATCCAGTGTTCGAGCAATCAAATCTCAGAGCAACAATCGTCAAAACGGTGAGTCTGATAGGCCTCAAGTAGATCTTCCTCAGGCTCTACAACGGGGAAGTGTCAGCCACTCACACTTTTCAAGTAGTAAATAAGATCTAATCAAATATGACCTATCCTTCTCAACTCTGTCTCTTTCTTTGTTTTTACCTACGGACACTAATACTAAGCCTCATAGAACTTACCCTACCTCTCACTCCGTGACTGTTTCCAACTTTCAACGCCATCAAAACACCGTTCTTGGTCTCTTAAAACATCACTTTCGATTTTATATTAGGTCTTTCGACACCCGAACCCTGTACGAAATCAGAAAACAAGCATCTCTCGTCAGAACTACGGTATCTTGAGCCAAGGATGTATGATATATTTTTAGGACACGAATGCAGGACTCGAGTGTAGTAATTCATCATTTGATCTCATCTTCAAAATTCACCTTACAAGTATCTGGAGACTACCCATTGGCTAGCTCTCGTGGACTCGCTGGTATAAGTCTAGAATTGTTATCGAGCAGAAAACGCCTTTTTGGACTGGATACTGGTTAACAGTCATCTACTTGCTGTTTGGCTGAATGGATCTGTAGAAACCAAGAATGATCATGAGACTAGTCGATGTCTATTCTTAATCTGCACCTACGCGTCCACTATCTGCAGTTCTGATAATACCAAGGATGGTTTCTAACATGAGCTGTCAGTTTTACTACGGAAAGCGAAGCGTTCAGATCCATTCATAACAGCAGGCTACTTTAACGCTTGGAAGTAGGGAAACTAAGCCAGACAGAAAGGTATCTTAAAGTATCTTAGGGATCTGTTGCCTACGAATTGACAGTGGTGATCGTCGGTTTCAATTTCGTTTTGAAAACCACTTGTTTCTGGCTTACACTAACTTTGAGCATAAGGAGAGAGATATTGCCTCATATGGTGACCACCGACACCAGACCAACGATGAAGACATAAATAATATTGCTATAAGCAACCGTTGGAGGGGATCGGTAAGGGATTGCCACTCCTCGAGTAGTTGTTTGAACTCCAATCATGGGTTAGTACAGACTCGTGTATGTCTGCATTTTACTAATGACAGAAGACAGGCTTCAGTGAAGCGTATGTGTGCACGATTCGACGATGAGAACATGTGATCCGTATTTAAGGAGGAGATAGCTAAGCATTTATCTGAACGTGACAGCAATGTTCATCCTGAGGAAACCTGGCATCATTGAAAGTCATATTAAATGCTGTAGAATCAGCTGTAAAGACAATTAGTAACTTACATCCGAGGGTTCGCAAACCTCGATGGATTTCTGCAAAGGCATACGAACTGATTGATATGAAAGACTCATTCCAGGTGGCTGTGACCACAGTGAAGAGCGAAAGCAGCTGAAACGTGAATTGAACAAGAGTATTCTCACTCAATGAGTGCGAGCAGTGGTGGGTGGCAATGGTGAGAGAGATGCAGAAGACATCAGCACTACGCACTACTCTGCACTACTACCGACAAAAAAAAACGATGGTTTGTGAAAACATCACCGAAAAGGATGGGACTCTGATAATCTTTTAGGACAGAAGGCTAGGACGTTCAATAAAAAATCTTGAAGCACAGTTCAACTGACTCACGGCAACGCTTCACTTGCCTTACACCCAGCCTGAACCTGAATAGAATGTAGATGTCTATCCTCCAACTCTCCTTGAAGTTGAGAAGATTGTTTTGAACCTAAAGCCGGTGCAAAGAAGCAGGACCTTACAGTTTGCCACTCGAATTTTCAATGATAGAGGTAGGAAATTGGTGAATAAAGTGACGGAAGTACTAGGTAGTGTATGGAAATCAGAGGTAGTCCCGTCAAATTGGTTTGCTTCACTGAACATCCCAGTTTATAAGAAGAGAGAGAAGTCTTCCTGCGACAAACATCGGGGAATTAGTTTGACAAATTTTATGTCCAAGATCCTAGGATCCATAGTTAATCAACGCCTAAGTGGGCCTCGAGAATACCTATACAGTCGAAGTTAGAATGAGAGATTGAAATAGGGCCCTGAACACTTGCAGAAGTCGAGAAAATTGTAGGTAACCGGGAACGAGGAAGAGCAGCAGGGTCAGATGGACTAGTTTCAGGGATATTTCAGGGTGGTGGTAGTGGACTTCTAATCAACTGAAGTGTTAACTAGTGTATGGGAGTCAGATACACTCCCCTCTGATTGATCTCAATCACTGACTGACCTAGTCTTCAAGAAAGGCGATAAGTCCTCCTGTGATAACCACAGAGGAATCAGTCTGACGAGGGTAGCATCTAAGATTCTAGGTTCTATTATCAGTAGATGTCTGGATGAAGCTCGGGGACGGAAAGTGGGAGGCAACCTGACAGACTTGTCCGTGGGTATGTCGATCAGATTATTCGCGCTCCACCAGGTTGTGGGACACGGGTAAACTTTGCAAACGCTCGACAGTAGCTATGTTTCTCGACCTGGAGGGGGCATTTGACTTCGCCACATATGACGCCGCCGTGATATTCGATTTTCTACTAAAGGTTGAGTGTGACTGTGGTGCAGTTTGCTCTGTTCTACTGTATGACTGTAAATCATGACCAGTAAAGGTAGGCAACATGAGAAGGCTTCAGGTGTTCGACCACTGTTGCCTTAGCACTATGGGTGAATTTCGTGATGCCACTAGGTGAGTAATGGAGAAGTTAGGCGCAGATTTTTCGGGAAGAAAGCGAAGCCAGTTTATAGTGTCATCATTGAGATGGCAGGGAAATATATTACTCATGCTTAGTCGCCACCTGCGCCTTCATGCAATTTCAGCTGACTGACCTGATTTCAAACTGGACAAGGGCTCGGGAGAAACAGAATAAAACATATTACTGTTTCTTGAAATCTTTGATTGTTAGTTTGAACCATGTTAGAACATGCAGACTGTCCAGGTGGTATCAGTGTGACAACAGAAACCGGTGTTTGGAGATTCAGTGTGATATTGCTCAGAATCGATGTAAGTGGCGCAGGTGAATCTACATTTTATCTTCACATCAGCCGTTAAACTGCGTTCAGCGTTTTCTCATTCTTTCTTCCTCTCTTTTACCGTTTTCTACTACTTTCGACCGGTGTTTCTTTCTTTTGTCATCTTCCATCTCATTACCTTGCTACTTGTTGTGCTGATACGGGGTGCGGCATATTGGACCGTTACGCAGCAATGGTTAGTCCTGTGGTTATATCGTTTTCGTTTTCCAGCAGTGTGAAGATGGTTTCAGGTTTCTGGATGAGCTGTGTTATGCTGTTCAAATAACTGTCTAACCGGTTTGTCATTGAAAGCAGCCTGCGTGCTGTCATTGTCTAGCTACACTCACATTGGTCTTGTTGCTGTAGTTTTCTCACGTCCAGTAAGGTAAAAACATAAACGCGCTAGCTTTCGAAACACTTGCTTTAGAGGGAGAGGCAGTCTTCCACTTACCCTCTCCAGAGATGACTTATATTAATGTGGTCTAATTGTGTCCACCGTTGAATTAAGCTCGGTTGACGCCGCGTCAGACAATGTCTATCTCTGTGTCTGAAGTTCGTGTTGGCTGGTCAAAAATAAGTGGTTTTCTGAGCACAGTTGTAGTAAGCGACTATCGTTATCTGTTCGTTCAGTTGGGATTCCGAAATTGCCACTAATGTGGTCTTTTACCCGACATGCATTGAAATTATCTTCTACGACAGCCATATCTAAACCTTTGGTTTTCAGTCGGAGGCAAAACAGTTTTCGATAGAACTCGTCTTTCATTTTATCCGAAATGCCGTCAGTGGGTGAGTAATCGGAAATTACAAAGAGACAACGGTGAGTTTCGCTATTATTTTTAGTTCCCACTGTGGCGTTCAGTCGAACAGCACATAGGTAGGTGACTGTTGACTGGGAACCAGACGAGCAATGAACGTTCTGCCTTAGTGCTCAGTGATACAACTAGATGCCTGCAAGTCCGCGACAACTAGTTATCAAATCACTGGAAACTCGAAGAGCGGATTTCGCGGATTCGTCATGTTGACCAAGTCAGGTTAATTGAATAACAACACTGGTGTTGTATGTGTGTGTGGTAAACACAGGATACATCTACGATTTGATTTGCTAGAGTTTTGGCTAGTCAGGCTTTTCAGTCGTTTTGACGGAGGGTCTGGACATTGAAAGCTTCAATGCGAAGTTTTATGAAACAGTTTTAGGAGACCAGTGACGCTGTTTCGTGAATTCATATTGTTGTCAAGATCTGTAGAGCTGGAAGAAATTAAAGGTGATGGAGGATTACTGATCGAAAGATGCGTGTAAGGATTAGAAGTTAAGGATGTGGAAGGTGGACATTGATTTGAGGGGATTTGAGTGCTGACAGTAATGGGAGGGGGGTTGACACTTCCTCGCTTCCCATGCTGAGGAAAACTATTCTTTTTGAGGTGCCTGAAGAAGTAGAATTATTTCTTGACATCAGCACACAA